CTGAGGGTTCGAAATGTCCATTCGGGCCCCCCGTCTGGGCACTCTCCTGGAGCCGTCTTGGGGGCCTCTTGGAGGCGTCTTGGGCCGTCTTGGGGCCGTCTTCGGCCGTCGGCGCGAAGCGGAAGAGGCAAGAACGCCAAAATCTTTCAATAACGTATGTGAAATCCATGAGTTTTGCCTCTTGGGGCTCTCGTAGGAAAGCTCCTGGAGGCCTCTTGGGTCGCTTTGCAGGCCTCTTGGGCCGTCTGGAGGCCGTCGAGGTGTCTTGGACAGATCGTTCGGCGATTCCGGGTTTCTTTGGACTGTCTTTGGGGACCTTTTGGGGCACTCTTGGTCCGTCTTGGGGCTTTTTTGGGGCTCTGGGATTCCCGGGGGACCCCCCCCGGGACCTCCCCCCGGGAACCCATCCCGGGACCCTCCCCCGGGACCCCCCCCCAGGACCCCCGCCCAGGGACCCCCCCCCCGGCGGGGAAGGGATCGAAGTGAAGGGGCTTCCCTTCGACTCAATTACGACGTTTCTCAACTTCGTTTTGGCTGGCGCGCTGAGGAGGTCCCTGCGAAAGGGGGGGAGCTTCGACGAGCCCAGGGGAAGGGGGAGGCAAAGAAAGGGGACGACAGAGACGACGACCAACGAATGACGGAGATGACGACTTGAACGGAGAAGCCCGTCACACACGCCGACAGGGTCGGCGGATTTATGCACGCGCGAATCGCACGATGGCACGACTTGCGGCACCACCTCCCCCACCATGAAGAGCCTGAACGCACGCGTCGCGTTCGCTCATCAGCTTCGAAACGGATCGGCGCGCGCCGTTTGTGCATTTGCACGCGAGGCATCATGGCTTAGTCGCGCGTGGCAAATAGCGCGCAACGCGCCGTGGAAGTGCCCTGCCCGCTCCGCATCCTTCAAGGCCCGGCCCTGGCCTGATCCACCACCATGCACGCGCGGGCATTGTGGCACCGAGCGCCGCGAACTACGCGCGCATCTGCAGCACGCGCGGGAGCAAGCACCAGGGCCCACAGCTGAAGATGCACCCAGCGGGGTGGATGCTGACAGCGCATGGAGTCCGCCCGTGGTCCGACACCATCGACGCAGCAGGCGCCACCACCGCAGCGGGCTCGACAGGGGCAGGAGCACTTGGACCCCAGCCTCGCCGAGCGAATGCTGGTCGTGGATGGCCAGCCGACAGCGACCAGACAAACGTTCCAGTGGGCGGCGCTCATCGGCACGCAGCTGGCCCGACAATTGGCTGGATCGGCATGGGATTCCCTGATTCGAGAACTGCCAGCGACGGAGGACGCGATGGACACGGGGACCGCCCGCGCGGAGAAAGGCGCGGGGGGGGACAAGGAGACGGGCAGCCCACATACATATATCGCGGCGGCCTCTTAATTGGGTTGGGCAAATGGGAAAAGCCGAGCCCATCCAAAGAGATTGTCGTCATGGTCGATATTCGCGTGAATCACATGCGGCGCCTGCACGTTGGAGACATGATGCCACACTTCCGAGTCGCGGCAGCCTGCTCGGAGTCAGCCCGCGCGCGGACATGGAGCTCGCGGCAGCCGCCGACAAAGCGTGGGAGCAGATGGCGAACAGAGCCTTGCCGCCGATAAAGCCCGAACCGATCGCAATCCAGCAGTTTTCGCCATGCGGTCCACCAGGTGGAGGCACTCCTAGGCGGCAAGCCCGCGCAGGGGTTGGCGCCGCCGGCTGCGTCGGAGAGGGCGCTGCATAACCAGCTCCGAGAGCGCCAGCAGCTACGAGGTATCCATCAGCGAACATAGAAGGACCCCGCCGACAGGATGAGAAGGCAGGTGCCAGCGCTAGTGAGACCTTAAGAAGAATCGGCTTGAATATATTGCTGGGCACCTGCGGGACAGACGAGGGGCTCGTCCCTTGATTTGTGTCGAACAGGTGGTGGGCCATCGCGTTTGTGGGCTTGTCTCTTGAGAGATTTCAAACATGTGCGAGGCATTGTTCTAGTGGGAGCGTTTCCTGCTATATGCGAAAAATGTGTTTGGCCTTCGCGCTGGTGGTACCGTCTTTTGATACAGTTCAAACACGAGCTGGGCCATCGAATCTGGCGGGCGTACCTTATGACACAAGTCAAACGTGTGCTGGGCCATCGAACTGGCGGGCCTGTCGCTTGATTTATTTCACACATGTGCTTGGCCAGCAAATCTGGTGGGCGTACCTCATAGCACATGTCAAACATGTGCTGGGCCATAGATTTGGCGGGCCTGCCGCTTGTTATATTTCAAACGTGCGCTGGGCCAGCGCACTTGTGGTCCCTGCTTATTGATACATTTTAAACACGTGCGGGGGCATCGCCCCAGTGGGAGCGTTTCCTGATATTTTATGTCAAGCATGCGTTGGGTCTTCTGCGCGGTGGGAATGTCGCAGCATGATCACTAGCGCTGCCCGCCCGCCCCTTCGTTGAGCGCATCGGCACCTCCGCCGTGACTCTTGGCACGTTCTGTCAAACGAACGCGAGTGCAGCGCATGTGCGCATTCAGCATATCGGTACAGTTGCTGTGAGCACGCATGCACGCCGTATCCATGTATAGCATGTTGAGCACTTCGGCGGAGTTGTAAAATATGCCCTGGCGGCTTCAAAGCACTGCGCCTGAACTGACGGCCGGCGTCTTTGGGTGGTGAGCCAAGGTGATTCGCCACCTCTTTCTATGACACTTCGAAGGACCGAGACGGCCTAGAGGCGGGCGAGGGGCCTAATTTTCTGTAGGCCACCATGGCTCCCTCAGGCGCCACTGCCGCTTCGCAGTGAACAGAACCAACAGCAAAATAGGACGCTGACAGGCGCCCACCCCGCCAGGCCTGTATTCCTCCGCGCTGGCGCCGAACAGTTGCCGAGGTCGTTCGCTCGCTCGTCCTTCCGCTCCTCCTCTTCTTCCTCCTCCCCCTCCTCCTCGGCCTTCCCCTGCTCGTTTCTCCCCGCCCAATGCTCCCTCTGGCCGCTCCGCCTGGCGAGGGTGTGAGGGGCGGGACGGGGGTCGACATCAAGCGTGGCCTTGCCGTTTTCGGGTTCATCTCTCGGGAGGAGGCTGAGTCTCTCGGCACTCGGGCGCGGGAGCGCCGACGGCTGGTTGCGCCGCCTCCCGAGGACCTCGACTCCTAACTGGTTTGGAGTGGTGTTTGCTGCATGCCGAATGCCGTAGCCCCTTTTTATATCGTTGCCGAGATCCTCCCCCTCCTGCTCCTGCTTCTTCTCCTACTCCTCCTCCGCCTCCTCATCCTCCTCTTTCTCCCCCTTTATCCCGCCTCCCCAGCCTTCCTCCTCCTCATCCTCCTTTTCCTCCTCCTCCTCCTCCTCCTCATCATCATCATCATCATCACCATCAGCATCCCCATCCGCATCATCATCATCATCATCATCATCATCATCAGCATCATCATCATCATCATCATCATCATCATCATCATCATCATCAGCATCCCCTCATCATCCTTCTCCTCCTCCCCCTCCCCCTTTTCCTCCTCCCTCCTGAAGCTGACGCTGTGAACTGCGACTTTCATAATCCAACCGAGCGGAGCCTTACCCCCTTCTCCCAAAGTAACAGTGCTCTACTGTGTCCTCTTCTCCCTCCTCCTCCTCCTCTTCAGTAGCAGCGCGTCACCACCAGCATCATCCTCACCCTCCTCAACAACATCATCATGAGCATCAGCAGTATCGTCATGACAGTTGCCCATCCTCACCATCGCCATCATCATCACCATCACCATCAGCATCATCACCATCATCATCGTTATCATAACCGCGGTAAGCATACACACCATCATTCATATCATCATCCTCGCCAACATCATCAGGAGCAGTAGCATCAGCATCACCATCAGCACCATGAGCAGCAGCAACATCATCAGCATCATCATCATCCCCAGACCTCCTCCGGGCTGACAGGATTGATGCTCAAGCTGTTCGTGGCATTTGGGTTTCTTCCCCACGCGGCGTTCTTGGAGCCTCTGTGCAGACCTCGCAGGAGCCCCAGGGGCTTCTGGGGAGTCCAGACCTCGGGCGGATGGACACAAATGCGAGGACGGCTGGGGGGTTGCAGCTCGGTCCTTTCCGGGGGCGACCAATCGGGGTGAGATGAATAGGGACGAGGGATACCGGCTACCAGGGCAGGGGCCATGATATCTCCCCATGTGTCATGGCCCTTCTTTATTTTTCAGTACTTCCCCCGGTCCCCCCCTCGTCCGCGCACATACCTCGGGCCATGATTTGCGAACCCTTCTTTTGGACCCCCCTCTTGGAGGCCCCCGATCCTCTGTTGGCACCCCAAGATAAGTTCGAGGCTCAACGGGGGCGACGGCGACGACGACGACGACGACGACCCCCGCGCGCGCGGGGGCAGCAGTGGGGGTAAGAGGGGAAGGATGAGAGGGATGAGGATGAGGGTGGAGGAGGAAGGGGGGACGGGAAGGGGCCAGGAAGAGAACATGTGTGAGGAGATGGAGGGTTGGAGGGGGGAGGGAAAAGCGTCCACCTAGATCGTAGATCCACCCAGACAGACGCCGCGATCAATTCACAGCGTGGACCGCAGAGGTCTGGACCCCTTCCCATGGGGCCAGTTTCGCACCCCACACCGTTTGTGTTGACGGCCTTGCGGCCTGCCTGGTATAAGGGCCCCCAGAAGCTGAAGATTGCCGAAAATTGCCCGTCGTGTTTTCCCGCAGCTAGAGGAGGAGGTCTCGGCTGGTCGAGTGTTCTCTTTCTGTCCAATTGTCTTCGCCCCTCTAGTCACTTGCGTTGCACGCGCTGGTTGTATGCGCGCTCGGCTGCACGAGCCAGTGACAGATAAGGTACAAACTCGGGCGGCACTGGCCTACACCGCTTAGTAGCCTCGCTTGGGAAGCGCATTCGAGCTTCGATCGCGGCCTTGCTGCAGCCCACAAGTGTGCTGGAGCATGTGGGATGTCAAGCGGCGCGTCGAGCGGCGGCGGCGGCGGCCACGGAGCAGCGGCGGCGGCGACTGCCCAGGAGCAGCGGCGGCGGAGCCGCTCCCGGCGCGGCGGGGAGCGCCGGGACCCGCGCGAGCGCCGAGACGCCGCGGGCCTAATGGCGCCCCTTGCAGTACGGTCGGCAACGTTTCGATAGCGTGATGCTCCTTCCGTTTTGGCCTACCACGCTCCGGCGCGACGCGCTATCCACGCTCCAATCCCCAAGCGTCCACGTCCCGAGCCTTTTTGAGCCTCCCGCCCTGCGGAGCGGAGCGAACGCTATCCCCTTGCAGGGCATGGCGTGTCGCCGCGGTCAGCGCGGCACGCTATGCAAGAGTCCATGATCGTAGGCACGAATAGGAGACGGAGACTGGCCCGTCACTAGGTGCCCACAGAAGTTGCTGTCTTAGCCCCCTGTCCCAGGGGGGGGGGCACAGACGCCCTGCGGCACCTCAGGAAACGCCAAGCTCGGCGACGAATGTGCCCAAATATGTATTACAGGTAGGTTTCTTACCGTCGAAAGAAAGCTGGAAGGCTCGGCTAGGCCATTTTCCTCTCCACGGCGGCCAATCGTCCCCGCAGCAGCTTGCTGGAGATCGCACCGTGTCCCGGAAGCGTTTTCCTGCTCGCCCACATCGGGGAACAAGTTATGACATAGACATGAACTGTCGGAGGTCCGCGCAGATATCTTGGACCTGCTCTGGACACCCCTCTTTGGAACGCGAAGCGCGCCAGGGGCGGCGCCAGGGGCGCCGCCAGGGAACCCAGTGCCGACCCAAGAAACCGTCGCGGGCCTCCGAGAGTTGATTGTACCAGGTTATGTCATTCCCAATCATCCTATGGTGTTGGGTCTTCGTTTTGAAGTGACAACGCCCCGCGTTTTCCTTCCTCGTTCCTCCTTCCTGTCTCCTCCCCCTCCTCATCATCCTCCTCCGCCTCATCCTCCTAGGAACTGCTGTGGTTCTCAGCGCAGCAGGAGTTCCCACCACAACTGCCACACCGTACATCCCATGGGTGAAAGTCAATAGCATGCGGGGCGGTGGGCCTAGACTGGCCTGGTGTACCTATTATCCCTTACTTCCACCCTCAGGGATGTATATCCTGATGGTTCTCCGATTCGTTGCTCACAATGTGGAATGGGCAGACTACACAAGGCTGGAAGAATGATCGAATCTTGCACCGAGTGTCCACATAATGCTGCTCAACGGCACGGGACGTGCAGGTATGAAGGATGAGGACATGCTTCATATGATGCTCCCCAAACACACGTGTATGCTATTTGGTTCTAAGAATTCCGGATGGTTCAACCGCTCATGCGGATTAGCTGTGCCGTGTAACGCCAGATTGAACGGCACTTTGCATCAGACGCAGTTCCCACCAATATCGAGAATAATTGCAGGACGTATCGCCATGACAAGGTTTCGCAAGGGATCTACAACACTGGCCTTCTTTCCAGTAGTTCTCCCACCGAAGGGAACCACACCATCCGTATTGAAAGAGGCGGTTGACAAGTACATGGCGTGTTTCACAAAGACGGTTGACAAGTTCGGACCTCAGTGCCTCGCCATCATGGGCGGAGAATTGGACGGTTCTGTTGGCGCACGCAGGGACCCCAATGTGCGCAAATATTTTCGGGCAGACGATCTGGAGACCGCAGTCTCCCAGCGAGTTCCTGACGCCCTCGAGGAGGACCATTTCTCCGTGGGAAGCAGCTTCTGGGGCACTGGACCGACGTACTACAATGATAATGCCAGCAGCAAGATCGACAATTACATTATCCCGACGGCGTGCCTGCCACAATGCGAACCTTACGAGTGCTTGGAAGGAGACTCCAAGGGCGCATCACCACACTCCCGCAGGATCACTTACTTCTACTGATGGAGATTGACACTCGTGTGGGGGAAAGCGGGGGTGTGAACGGCGGGTGGGATTTGCTGCGGGAGTGCATCCACAAAGCTTGGTCAAGATCTCCCCCCCCAGGCGAGCACCCGTCCAAAAAAACACGAGTACATGCGCAGCGATAGAGAATTGCATTCATCATGCAGCGTGACGCGTGCTAACCTTCGAGAGCGGTTCGGAAATTTACCGAGCGAGGCGTTTGACGAGGCCGAACCGCATCAATCATAATAAAGTGCTATATGCACCCGCTTGGGCACACCCACTCGCGCGTTGCAAGCAGCCCGCAGACGCCATGCCTTCAAGGGGCGCGTTGAGACGATTGGGGAGCTGGAACAAGCCCGGAAGCGACGCGGCTGGTTCCAAGTTCGCAGTCTCAAGTAATCTTTTTTCAGGCACTGGGCGAGGACCGAAGAAGCGCTTCACATTCGGGACCCAGCAGAGCATGACTATCGACGACGCTACCAGCGGGCTCGCTCAAAAAGCTGAAGACGGCGGACTTGGAGCAATACCCGTGGACTGGACAGAGATGACAGCGGATTATCAAGTCCACCCCGAACTCACTGCCCCAGGACTTGCAATGGACCAAGCACGGAATGGTCGCCTCGGTCATATAAAGTACCTCAGGCATGCCCCGAAACGCAGGGCATGTCCAGCTTGGGGGGTCACTTCAGAAGCGCTGCTCATGGCGATCGAGAGGAAAACGTACTCGCACGCGCTCTTAAAGCCAAAGCACAACGGAGCGCGCGGCATAGAGGGGAAGATGCTACTGCGCTGCGACGATGCTTTCGCGATGGGTCTCTATGGCCAGCTCTTGAAGCGCACGAAAAGGCCAATGCTTAAATACTACGCGCACGGGGGGGTGCGTAGTCGTCGCCGGGGGGGCTGCCTTCTAGCATTGTCGCCTGCAGATTGGGAGGTGCAGGGGTGCGCGGGCTTCGCGCGCGCTGGCGAACTGCGACAGGTCGAACGATTTCGCCTGCCCGCCCCGCGAGTGCGCGCACGCGCTGCGCGAGAGCACAGCGCAGCCCGATCGGCAGAACTACTTGCGCGCAGCCATCGAGAACGCCACAGTACATGTGAGAGCCATAGAAAGACTATGGGGGCCGATCGGGCGACTTCTATTGGACGCTCATTGGCGGCAGCTGGTTTCGTCGACGCTTTCGCCCCTGGGACCGAGACGCGGCGCGAGAAGCTACGAAAGAGGGGTTTCAGCTACCAGTTATTCACAGGGCGTAGCATTATATTTCGCAAGCCAGTAGATATTGGAGTCGGCTCCTTCATCGATGGCGCATCGCGCTTGCATGTTCGCCCGCGTAAGTTTGCATCACAGCGCAACGCAGCACAGCTCAATCACGCAACTGGCCCACAACGCGAACAGGCACTCACGACGGGACATCATCTCAACGAGCATAAGACCGCGCGCATCGCGAACGCCGATGGGGCAGGGGGCTCTCGCGCGCGCCAAGCAGATATGCGCGCCGTCTCTGGCCGAAGGCACAGTCGACAGCGGGGCAAGGCTCCGCGGCTTTATTTCCCCGTTCGATGGCGCGCTGCGCACCGAGTTGACAGGCGGAAATATTGCAGCACGGGCAGGGTGGCGGCCACCCCGGCCGCGCTTGGCATCAACCGCTCCCACGCGGGCTGAAGCGGATGCTCTTTTTGAGTTTCGTACGCGCGGCTGCTATTTCGGGATTGGATTGGCATCTGTGCCCCCAGAAGAGTGCACTGATCGACTGGGCAGCGCGATTGGGAAAATGATTCGCGGTCTGATGAAAGGAACGGCGGCGGCCACCACAGAGGGCGGCCGCGCTCGCACGATGTCCCCAGATCGGTGTTCTCCTGCCGGGGCATCTCGCCCGCAGCCGTCGAGCTCCAGTTGCAACGTGTCAGATGGGCCAGGGGCATTGTCATGGAGCCCGCCGAACCGCGAGCACGTCACCATTGGAGTCTTCGGGGCGACACGACGGGATGAATGCGTCAAGCGCCGCCGTGTAGACAGCGCGGGCAAGGCGCGCGAGCATGGCGCGCCCTGGGCAAGACAGCGGCTGGCAGATCTAAACACAATTGCCAAAGCCACAGAGATGCATTGAGACGCCTGTTTCCAGCCAGGTCCACGGAGTTCGGCCGAATCTAGATTGCACGCGCGGATGGCGCGACGCGCAAAACATCACGGAGCAATTTGCAGACAGCGGAACAGCAGCAGTACTTAAGAAGTTTGATATTGGCCAGCCTGTTCCACGCACGCGGCAAGAGCGAGTGCGCGACGGCGAACTCAGAGCACGAGGACACGCCACGCGCGACGCCGAGGAGGAATGCGAGCGGGAGTTCTCGTGCACGCACGAGATGCGCGACGGCGCAGCATGTGGAACCATTTCCCAATGTTGAAGGCCATGGATGCTCGCGTCACGCTCGCTCGCCAGCTTCGAAACGAATACTCACTCGCAATATGTATCAATGCATGTCCGCGGTGCCAGGTACCATGGTCTAGCGAGGCCTCGCGTTTGAGACGTGTCTGGCCCATTGCGGCCAAGACGCCAAGAAAGTGCCCTGCTCGTTCTGTGTCCTTCGGCTTTCGGCCCGAGCCTGGCCCGCCGTGCGCTCGCGGTCACTGCGGCATTGCGCATCAGGAACTGCACGCACGCACTTGCGGCACGCGCAAGAGCACGTGCCAGGGCCAGAAGCTGAAGATGCACCCAGCAGGACGGGCGATGACAGCATCGGGGGTCCGCCCGAGATCGGACACGCTCGACGCAGCTGGCGCCGCTGCTGCTGCCCCCCCCCCCCCCCACCCCCCACACGCACACGCACACACACGCGCGCGCGCACGCGCGCGCACGCGCGCGCACGCACGCGCGCACAGCGAGCGCGACAGGGAGCAGCGGCACCAGGTTGACACCGACAACGCCGCGCGAATGTTTGGCTTGGACTGCCGGTCGAGACCGACGAGGCGACGACGCTCCAGATGGCCGCTCTCAACAACGCGCGGATGCCGAGGCACCTGGCGGGCTCGGTCTGGGACTTCCATTTGGCCTCGCAGAACGCGGCGACGGACCAGGGCGCGGAGATGGGGACTGCCTACGCCGAGAAGGCCAAGGCAGGAGAGAAGGACCCGGGCAGCCCGCATACACATATCGCGGCCGCCTTCTTCGGAGGACCAGCGCAGTCGGATTCGCCGAGCCCGTCGAAAGAGATCCTGGGCACTTTCGC